CTGGCTGCAGCCCGGGAAGAGGAGCAATCCATTTGTTGCTTCTTTCTTTGTGGCTCCCTGGCTCCATTCAATTACGGAGTGGCTCTTACACTGCTAAAGTGGAGTGTCTCTGGGCTACAATTTCTAGCCACAGACCCTGCATTTGCTGTGCCTCAAACATGACCTCGAGGCCACACCCATTACACACACAGCCCACAACATCGTTAACCAGTCCTCTGTCTGGGTGAGGCAGGCAGGCACCGTGCAAACTGCCAACTCCATGCCTTTCTGCGGGACTCTCTCTCTGCATTATCCCTTTACCAGGAAATTTCATGGCAATCCAGGATGCGGAAGAGGCCGACGATGGGCTCACTTTCAACTGCGTTATGTTATTCAGGAGAAAGGAAAAATAAAATAAAAACTAGATTACAGCGCCTGGTGAGGATCACAGTTAAAAGTGGCAGGTCAGGCTGTGTTTCCCTTTGCTGCCGCCTATGGCCTGTGGGGAAAGCGAGGCGTGCAGAAGTGATGCGTTACACATTTCTAAAGGCATTTTTGTGCTACCGGGAGGCTTTTTTTTCTTTATCTCTGATATACCGGACAGGTGACGTGATAAAAGGCACAAAGGAAGATGCTCCCCAAATGACTGCAGGATTAGTTCAGGAAAGTAGCAATTAACTTTAAAGTTAACCTTGTTGAAAGTCATTTTTGTAACGCAAGACTTACTGGATCAAGCACCGCTGTGAGTGTGTGTGTGTGAGAAGAATCAGATAAACAAAGGTTAACATTCCTAATGCCCAGCATTTGGATTGTGGCTGCAAAACAGGACTGCACTGTGAAGACAGGGGACCCATGTCCAGTTATATCAGCGATGGTTAGTGGTACTCACCCCCCGCCCTTCGTTAGGAAATTCTGTACCATATTAATGTGATGCAAATCCAGGACTGTGGACTCTATGAGCCCACCCCATTTGGAAGGCAGGGCTGTAGAATAGGGCTCAGGATGCCCTATCAGGCTTCCTGACAAGACGCCAATCAATATCTACAGTATATATACAACCCCAAGCAACCAAAGAGATAATTCCAGAATTGTTTGAAACGGCATACTTCTTTTCCTAATGTGTATTTATTTTAATTCTGGGAAGACTTAGAATTAAACAGAAAATTTTAATAGGATCAAAGCCATAACACTAATATTTTTTATTTAAAAGATGTATGTATATTTGGTATTTCAAGTAATTATGTAAAATAATTTGACTTAGGTAACATTAGCCTATATTTCCAAATTAAAATGAATAATGAAGTAATAATTTAGCCTTTCAATTTGGGGGAGAATTGAAATCTTACTAGGTTTATAAGCAATATTAGAGCATTTAAGAAAATTTATTACGTTTCAAAGAGTTGTTTAAGGGAGGATTTTGTAAATTAAAGTAGGCAATTCTAATAGTCAAAAGAATTAAATAATTATTATTTGTCGCTTGAAAAATGGATGAAAGAAAGAACACGGACTTTTGAAAGATGATCCTGCACACTTGAAGAGCAAGGACATGAGAGTTAAGCTTTCAGTGAAATGTTGACTACAGTGTAGTGTTCAGCACACAGTACTCAGTAAGGACCTGTAGAAGTAGTAATTTTTAGAAGTACAGTCATGTTTCGCCGAATGATGGAGATACATTCTGAGAAATGCATCGTTAGGCGATTTTGTCATTATGTGAACATCATAGAATGTTACCCAAACCTAGATGGAATAGCCCACTACACACCGAGGGTGTATGGTGTGTACTGCCCTTAGCCTACAAACCTGTATAACATGTTACTGTACTGAAAACTGTGGGCAGTTGTAACACTATGGTAGTATTCGTGTATCCAAACACAGAAAAGGTACAGTAAAAATACCCCATTATAATCTTACCGGACGACTGTCATATATGTGGTTCGTTGTCGACTGAAATGTCGTTATGCTGTACTTAAATCAAAGCATGAGTTGACAGCGTTTAACTCCGAGGGATGAGCTGTGTAGAGACTGCAGGGTATGTAGTTAAATATGACTATCCTGGATGTTGATCTTATCCATTCAGCAAAATGCCGTTAAGAAATTGAAAATTAGTTCCATAGGTTGTATGTCACACTTACCAAAGCTATTCTGTCACAGAAAGTAAGCAAGTTTGAGGGCAGGAGACATTTTTGCCATCTGGACAAGGTTCAGAGGAAATTGTATGTAATACAGAGCCCTAGACCTATTTCTTCTGGGCCACTCAGACAGCCCTGAACAGGGTGCACCGTGAGGCCCTGAGCTGGAGGATGCTTAGCTTGTCTGCAGACATTGTCGTTTCAGTCTGGCTTCTGGTAATTAGGCACTCCTAGCTGGGCTCTGCTGTCAGCGAGCCTTTGAGACAAATTGCAAAATCTGTACAACCATCTGAGAGATGGAGAAGTAGACCTGATGACACTACAGGGGATATTTGGTGGTTCTGAAAAGTTTGAAAAAGAATGCTTAGAGAAGCAATCCTCAAAACTGAATTTAGAGATCTTTTTCCTTTGGTAAGAGAGTTCGGTCACAGAATCGAGATCTGCGAAGATCCTGACAGTCTGGAGTTTTAGGCTGAATCTAACACGATGAAATGGAGCAGAGATAAATGGAAGGTTCTGTATTTGGGTCTGAAAATCCCAACTGTGCCCGAAAGAAGGAACAGGTGTAGGGATTTATCTCTGGATATGTCTGTAGCCTTGGTCTTGTTGTCTTAAGAGAAACAAGGATCTGGAGGTGAAAGTTACAGGAAGCCTCAAATAAGAGGGGGAGGGGGGTCTTTATTTTTTTTGGAGGCAGGGTCTCACTCTGTTCCCCAGGCTGAAGTACAGTGGCATTATTATAAATTACAGCAACTTCAAACTCCTGGGCTCAGACGATCCTCCTGCTTCAGCCTCCTGAGTAGCTGGGACTACAGGCACATACCATCATGCCCAGCTAGTTTTTTTTAGTTTTTGTAGAGATAAGGTCTCACTATGTTTCTCAGGCTGGTCTTGAACTCCTGACCTCAAGAGATCCACTTGCCTCGGCCTCCCAAAGTGCTAGGATTACAGGTGTGAGCTGCCATGCATGGCCAAGGAGGGTCTTTTTATTCTTCACTATGTTTTAAGATAAAATGGGCTGCTTTCTCAATTCTAGAAATGCTGGCTTAGGCTTACGAAGAGTTTCAGGGGTGGGAATGGATGACCCAGAGGTACTTTGTAGCCCTAAGAATTTGTGATTCCCTTGCTTTCCGTTGGTGACTGTGTCCTGCGCTGTCTCTGCACTGGCAGATGATAGAGCTATGACTGTAGGGAACAGTCTAGGCAGCAATGAGAGCATCTTTACAGTTCTCAGACAAGATTTCGATAAGGTCGGTTTGCCATTGGTCCTTGTCACTGTTGCCAGTTCCTTAACTCTGCCAGGGGAGGTCTGGGAGATGTGGTCGCTGACTTTCACCAGGGGCTGGGTTATTTCCTCATTCATTCAATCTCTGTGCCTCATTCATTCTCAGCAAGGTGCTGAGTGCTTGGGAGCCATTGGGCAACAACACAGAGTTCTTGACTTCTTGAAGTGTACAGTGTGTCTGGGAAGAAGTAAGACCATCAACACAGATTGTACAACTGACTATGGTTGTGGATATAATTGCGATTCAGCCACGTACTAAACAGGTACAGGTTGTGTTGTGCGGAGCAAAGCAACCAAACCTAGTTGAGTGGTGAGAGAAGAAGACCCTGAGGATGTGATGTTAAAGTAGGGCCTTGAAGGAGAAGTAGAATCTGGCCCGACAGTCTCTGGCTGGTGAGGCACTAGAGTGAATGTTACAGCAGCAGACTTGAGACTTGTTCCTGAACAAAAGGAGTTCTCCTTAGGATGGAACTGACGGAAAGGCAGCCAAAAGTAGTAGTGTGAAATGGAGGTTTTCCATTTACTGTTAGAGTATGCAAAAATATTTTGAATTTTTGGTGTTAGAGCAAATTGAAGTCATCGATATGACCTGCTCAGAAGGATCCATGTCTTGTATGCGTGAGTTTTTATTTTATGTGGTGTCTTAGGTACCACTTAGCTTCTGGGGATATGTTTTTCTTTTCTTTTTTCTCTTTTTTTAAATTGAGATAGGGTCTCTGTTGCCTGGTCTAGAGTGCAGTGGCGTCATCACTGTTCACTGCAACCTCAAACTCCTGGGCTCAAGTGACCCTCCTGCTTCAGCCTCCTGAGTGTCTGGGACTGTAGGGCACGCCACTATGCCTGGCTAATTCTTCTGGTTTTTGTAGAGACAGGGTCTAACCCTTCCTCTGAACTCCTGGCCTCAAGCAATCCTCCTGCCTCGGCCTCCCAAAGTGCCAGGATTACAGACGTGCGCCACCACACCTGGCTAATATTTTCTTATTATAATTCTTCGAAGTCAGGTTGTCTGAGATTTACTTCTCAGTTTCCCAGTGGGGTAGGGATGGAAGGTTGGTTGAGACAGTTTTTATACTGATGTGACTTGTGCGTAATTAATCACTGGTGCATAGTACCTTGAGAGGAGGGATATCCGCTTCTTATAACTGTAGGGCTTCCTTGGTCATAGCAGTTCATTCCTTGTGGCTATAATGATTCTGAGTGTAGTTAACCATATATCAGTAGAAACTGAATGAGAAGGAAAATGAATATGAAAAATAAAAAGCTAGAAAAGAACTGGGTTTGTTTTCTCCCAGACTAATCCTTCTTTGTATTATGTTAATATTTGCTGCTCATATGAGTGACCACCCATTTAGGTACAAGCATGCAAATGACAGGACACATTTTAAAAAGATACATCTCTATCCTCAGTTGCTGGTCTAATTTCCAAATTAAATGCCCTTCGTCTTAATTTTTCCTAGTAAACATTTTTGCAAACAATTGTGCTGTTTTACTTTTCTAGCATTAATAAATTCATAGCTGCAATTAAAAAATGTTTGATTCTGAATTCTCCCCTCCCCCCCTGTTTTTTTTATATTACCCACCTTATTGTAAATTCTTCTTTCTTTCAGGTAGGAATGAATTGATAGCCAGATACATCAAACTCAGGACAGGGAAGACGCGGACCAGAAAACAGGTAAAATATACCACCTGGACATTGTGCATGTCACCGAATGGCCCAAGGAGGCATTTTGGCTGCAGTGGCTGGCTGTGCTTTGGCTCCTAGGAGCCCCCAATTTGAGTTCCCTGTAAGGACGTCAGTGTCATAGGTGTTTTAAATTGGCTCAGTTTTCACTGTTCATCATTTCAGTGACCCTTTATTATGTGGTCTTCCAAGTTCCTTTTATACTCATATGGGAAAGTTTCACTGCTAAGGACAGCGTATGAGCTGCTCCTGTGTGTTATTTCACAATTCATATTTCTTTCCCAAGATGTGCACCTGCAAACATTGCAAAAATTGCAGGTGCGAATACACTTGTAAGTTATGAAATGTTGAGACTTTGTGCATCGTAAAATCCTGGAACGATTACATATTAGTCATCGTTTCAATGAAAAAATGATGCTAGCAGCCTTGGGTATTGGCCTGAAATATGATGTTAAATGATGTGCGTCCAGGGAACTGTTGCTTCTTAAGCGATGGCTTTTTGTCAGTAGCTGCTGTGACTGAGACGAAGTTACAACTTCAGTACCTCTGTGCAGAGTCTTATCAGAAATTCTCTGCCCTTTGTCTGGGCTCTGCCTTCCCTCATTCTTTCAGATGTAAAGCAGCCCAAATCTCTGACATGACCCAGTTCAGCACTGGAATGGATGAGAAATTAGGTAGTGTTTAACTAAAAAAGAAAAGAGAAAAAAAAAACAAAAAAAAACCTCATGGGTGAATTGTTAACAAAAAAAAAAAATATTTTCTTCGTGTTGATTTGTGCTGAATGATATGGCACGGACCTTAAAAACTGCAGTCAAACCAAAAGGCAAGCCAAACTGTGGTCTCATTAAGACTGAGCAGCAGATTTCAGCTCTCTTCCCAGCGAGGAACTGTTGTCATGAGTGTTTGTAATGGGGAGAGGCTTTTCCCCAGGAATGCTGCATGCGCCCAGCCGGGAGCCTCGCTGCTGAGTCAGCACAAAGGGAAGTGGCCTCCTGCCAGTGCGCAGAGGCCGGGCATTGTTTGTTGGGGGGATGCTCCCCCCCCTGACTGTGGCCCTCATCGAGTCAGAGAATCACATAAGAACAAAATTCGGGTGAAAACAAGCAACAGCAGGAGCCAGATGGAGGGGTGAAGAGGATGGGGGAGTTTCTGCTTCTCCTTACTTAAAAAAAAAAAATACAAAAGCAAATTGGAAAAAGAATCATTAGAACTCAGAGACAAAGTTAAAGATAAAAAGATCTTTTATTATCATAAATCCCGTTTTTAGAGTCGCTAGAAAATTTGAAATGAGGTAATCGCCACGCAGTCTGAGTCGCTGAACTGAACTTTTAAATGGAAGGTCCAAATTTCTGAAACGGCCGGATCTAAGCCCTCACCTACTGAGAGTGCTGGACCTGGGCTGTCTGCTGGTCTTCGAGCTCTGGTCACTTGCCTGGTGACCCCTTCACTGGGGGACTCTTCTAAATTTAACCAAGTCCTACTGAAAGAGATGCAAATTTGTTTACCCAGTGGAATCATTGTGTTTCAGAAGCCGAGCTTGGCTATGGATCCACACCCGGGCATCCTAGGGATGTTTTTAGGCAGCAGTTGGTGATACCTCTCCAATGTGAATTTGTTGTTCAGCAAATCCGTGTGGTTTTCAACCCAGATTTTTAACAGGATGGCTGGCTGGCTGTATTCACACATTTCGCTTTGTAATAATATGCAAATCCACTTGGCGCCCAGTCAATACCCAAAAGAGTGGAAGGATTAAAGATATTTATAAGGGCAAAAAAAAAAAAAACAAAAAAAAAAAGCTCTGCTAACTGGGTCTTTCCATTTCTCTTTGAGATCTAATTTACATGTCAGTATTATTTTAACATTTGCTACAGAATCCAGAGCTCTTAATGAGATCAGAATACAACCGACAGCTTCGGCTTTTTGATTCTGCAGAATGTGCTAATTTATGGATAGTCTCTTCTAAATTGAGAAGGATTTTCCCTCCTGGTACTGAGAAGCTATAAATATTTTCATTTACCTCTACCCCCACCTTTTTAATTTTAGAAAGAAAACAACTCTACTCTCCCCCTCTCACCCCTCCCCAAATTAGTTTCTCCCAGTGCCTGTTTCTCCCGAGTGGGGAAACTAAGACGAGCCTAAACTTTCTGCCCGAATCAGGTCACTGCAGTGATGACCCAGTATGAAAAGCTTAGAGCAGCGCTGGGGGCTTGTGTCTGGCTGGAACTGTGTACTCCTAACTGCAGAGCTTTGTTGAGATGCAAATAACCATCCCCCACCCCACCCCAAACCCTCCCAAGGAGTAGCGATTTTATATTTGATTTCCTTTTTTTGTTTTGTTTTGTTTTGTTTTGTTTCCCCTCATAAACCCGAACAATGTAGGTGTCTAGTCATATACAGGTCTTAGCAAGAAAGAAAGTTCGAGAAATTCAAGCCGCCATTAAGGTACGTCTGGCTTGCCCAGTTGTAGGGGGCTTTTCATCTCCATGGTTACAGGCTTTTCCTTTGTTTTCCTCCCTTCCCCTACCCTGCAGGTGTCTAGTCACATTCAGGTTCTTGCCAGAAGGAAATCTCGTGATTTTCATTCCAAGCTAAAGGTATGCGCTTTTCTGCTTTTTGGCTTGTGGTTGCTATGCATCTCACTTCCTGTTTTCCATGGTGACTGGTGAATGCCTGGTGCTGGGATTCTCGTAACCTAGTTTCCTTGCATGTGAGAGCTGTTTACATTTCTTTGTGTCTAATCTCTCTGTTTCTCTACTAGCCTCACATTAAACTCAATGTGTGCGTGCCTGCGTGTGCGTGCGTGTGTGTGTGTGTGTGTGTGTGTGTGTGTGCGCGTGCGCACGCGTGTGTGTTCCTAATAACAATGCAAATGCAGCAGAGAGCTGGTCTTTGATAACTTTTCAGCACAGAAACATGATTTTGTTTTTAACCTTCAAATGTCCACCAAACAGCCCTGGGCTAGGAGAATGTAAGAAAAAAGTCCAGAGACACAAAATTGGTTTAGAAATTACTTTAAAAAAAATATTTCCAGAATGGTCATGAAATTACTTTTTAAAAATATTGAGAAATTATTAAAATATGTCTTTTTCACGTTATGTCTCTTCCACTACAAAGAATATATTCGGCTAGATTTCTTCCATGTTGTTTAATATTGTTTTTTAAGTGAATGGCTCTCATAATAAAAGAGAAATTTGAGAAGTGGCCTTAAAAATAAAAAGATGTATCTTAGAGGTGAGAAAATTCTTGGTCATGCCCATATTTGTAATTTCATTTATACTTTAGTTTACTTAAAAGTTTTTTACATATGCCTTGGATTTCAGTCTCTTTAAAATATATTTCATAGCAAAAATGGAGGCATTGATAATTTCTTAAATACAAATTATCCCTGCTTTCTCCCTTTCTAAAGTTTGCCATAAAACATACGTGACTTTTATTTTTCTCCTATTTTAAAAATGCAAAGGGATTATAGTTTGCATGGAAGAGGCTTAGTTTATCATAAAAATTAATTTTTGGCCCAAATTGTTGCCTTTCCCACCTACCTTTTTTGTTCTGTCCTGATATTTTTCTATCCATTAATTACATTTGCGTTTTTGTTCTAAAAAGAACAGTGTAATTTCACAACACTGAGTGGTTTACACTGGGACCCTTCCGAGAGTCCTTCAACTTTTTTTGTATGCGAACAAGGCTGGCTGTGGAGTAGGACTAGAGACTAGCAAGGAGCATTTGGTGTGCCCTCTGCAGTGGGCAGCATGCTGGCTCGCACGCACGTGTGGCTGATGGTGGCTGGCTTTTAGCTGCACTGGCTGAGCAGTTGGAAGACTAAGATAACCTCATAGATCCTGCTTTTTAACCAAAAGTGCAATACTCTCTATATGGATGTACCTACCCCAGTGTTTGCTCAAGTTCTGACTCTGTTTCTAGTTTCTCTGACCTAACGAATTAATGATGTACAAAGAAGTTTACAGATATCCATTTTGTGTTTCCGTCGACAATGTTATGAATTGCTCTGTTTCTGCACTGTCTGTGTGGTGCCCGTTGACTCACCAGGGCACACAGCCCTGGAGCGAAAGCCCCGAGCGATGCATAAAGCTCTCCTGTTCACAAGGGGTCCCTGTGGGATATAGGAAACACTCCTTTCTAACTTGGTGATTTTAAGAATGTTCTTCCATAGAAAACAATGTTGCCATTGCTTTACATGTATACCTGTGTACAAATACACAGCTATATTTGTGTTCTTAAAAAATTAAAAGAAAAAGAAAAAAAGAAGACTTTCCTCTCCACTTTCAGCCCTGGGGCACTCTCCTTTGGGGCAGGCACTAGGAGGAGAGGGAAATGGGCAGTAGGATAGCAACTGCCTCCGCATTTAAGCTCCAAGAACCACCTTCATCTTAGGGTTCCTCCCTTCTTCCCTACCACATTATTCTTGGAAAAATGGAATCCTGTGTTTTTCCATAAGCTAATATGAATTGAGTGTGCCAGGCATGGCGTTCCTTGTGGTGGGCAGTTAACAGCCAAGCCCCTATTCCGGGAGCTGGCCATTTAGATGGGAGCTGAAATAGAGGACGCTTCAGAGAAGTGTTAGCAGGAAGAGCCAAAGGGAAATGGAGAGGGAATTCCAGGGATGAGCTTCATGGAGAATGTACTTCTGAGTTTGGGAATGAGGACAGTAGTTACTGTAATGCAGAGCCTCTGGCATGTGTTCTCGTTAGGCTCACTACAAAGTGAGTTCCATTATTCTGATGTTGAGGAATAATATTAAGGAAACTGGGGCTCAAAGAGTATAATTGACTTAACAAATGTGATCGAGCCTATCTAGTATGTGGTGAAGCCAAGACTTGAACTCAGATCTTTCTGAATCCTAAACTGATTGTTCTTTCAGATAGGGTTTCATCAAGTGGAGGTGGGAGAAGGTTTTCAAGCAGATGAAGGCTTTATGTTAGCACACTGTACATAATTTGTCACCCCTCACATATGTTAGAGCTGGCCAATCAGCCCTTGCTACCAGCCCTTAACTTAGCTTCACATTTTAACTTTGAGCCCTTGGTCAAAATGTGGACCTAATTTGGGATCGACAGTGTGGTGATCCTCAGGAACTCAGCGTCACATGGTCCTGGCCATAGAGCTGCTTTGTCACCACTGACGCTCTCCTTAACCTTCCTAGCCAGCCCTTACCAGGGTACAGGCTCAGGTCTGTTGGTCTTGTAGGACAGGTGGGTCTTACTGCTCCAACCACACTCTCCTGTACAGCCTTGGAGCCCACTAGCACATTCATGAGGAGACAGACACAGACAACTTCACCAGAGTCTCCGTAGGTTCAGGCTGATATCCATGGTCCTTTTGGCCTCCCACACTAGCTAATGAGATAAGCTCGCAGCAGAAAGTTGAGGTCATCCCCCAAAACAATTGAAGCCCACTCTCTTGCATCCTTAGTAATGTCCTCTTTGGCTGTTCCATTGAGTAAGGTTTGCAATACCATGTGCTTTAAGCAGAAGGAAGAGGAGGTGACTACCTTTCACTCTGTCCCTCCCTGTCTCTGCAGGACAGCTCCTGCGTCCCATTTAAAGCTCATGTTTCTAAGTCCTGTATTTCCTAAGTTCTTCCATGTTCCCGTGAAGAAAAGAGACTCAGAGAGAAAGAGAGTGGTCATTCTCATGTCATATTGACAGATGAGTCAGAACAGCTACAAAAGCCAGTCTCTTGCAAATCTGTTAGAATAAGTTCCAGAGGTCAGCTTCATGCTCCTACTAACTGCAGTGGTTCTCAAAAAGTGCTTGTTTGTGCACCGGATCACCTCAAAAGTGTGATTTCAAGACTTTCATTTTATTTTAATTTTAGTAAAGAAAATTTGTGCTAGTGAAAGTTCAGGATTTCCACATAGATTTGAACTTGAAAAGCGCAAAAATGATTTTTTAATTCATTCCAGTAACTTTTCATCCAAAAGCCAGCCAACTGTAGGCTCTTTCGTAGATGTTGGGCGTGTGGAGTTGAATAAGCAGGGTCTGTGTTCTTGGGGAACACTAAACTTTTCTGTCATTTTTCCAGTAGATCATCTGTGGCCAGGGGGCTCTGAAGTAGGAATTAAACAGGGAAGTGTGAAGGCCGCCTGGGGAAAGGAATGATTAATTCTGAGAATGAGAGAATGAAAGAAAGCTTCATGGAAGAGATGCCTTAGAACTGAGCATAGAGGGAGGCACAGAACTTCCATAGAATGGAGGGTGTTAGGGGAACCTTGAAGAACACGGTTGGAAGCGTGCAAAAGGAAATGAGACTGGGTGAGCCTGGCATGGCAGTAAAGCCCTGGGCCATCCCGATGAGGAGCAGGGATTCATCTGGGGCCTTGGGGGAGTATGCGGGGGTCCCTCACTTTTATGTTTTGGAATGATCTCGCCAGCTGTGTTTGGGAGCATAGCTAATAAGAGGGAAGCTGAGCTGGAGGCAGCAAGACTAATCCCCAGGCTGCTATGAGAGTGGGTGAGAGGTGCTGACCTGGACCAGGGGCCCACCCCGCCCCCTCCCCTCCCCTGCCCTGCCCTGCCCCGGGCCATGCTCAGCTGTCATCCTTGGCTGGTTCCCACTCCAGTCCACTCTGCCTGCCCTGTGCTCTAACTCATTGTTTTCAAAGAGTAAATTATGTTTATAAATCCTATCCTTATTCTGAAATACATACCAAAACGTTTCAGAAAGATTTTCAATAGCAGCATTAAAGAATTACCTTGTTAAAGGTTCAGTTCTCTTAAAGTAATAGTAACTAGCTCAGAGTGTGCATCCAAATTAACTATAAAGTTTTTGTTGTTAAAGTTTAAATATATAAAGGTTAAATAGTACAGAGAATGACATGTTAAGCACTCATGTTTTTACTATCCAGAGATGATTATTTTCATTCTGACATATTTTCATTAAGTTTTTTAAAATGAAAGAAATCAATTGGTAAAATGTGATTCTGTACTTTTTCTAAATTCATCTCTCCATCTTTCTTCTTCAAAATCAGAATCAATCTCTCCCACCCCGCCACACTGCCCATAATGTCTTTCCTTGCCATTTGTTTCCCCGAGAAAATCTGATCCAGTGAAAACTCTCTTCTCCTTTTGCCCCTAGATTTTTACCCATTGCCTACCATGAATTTGTGCTGTAGCCATTGGCACCAATGTGAGACTTTTTCTCTGCAATCTGTAGCAGCCTAAACCAAGGTAGACTTGGCCAACAGTGTGGGATGGCCTTGGATACAGACCGTGACAGTGAGGGAGAGTTGCAAAGACAAGAAAATACAGGGAATGGTTGAACTAGAGAGGGAGTGACGTGAGGGGGCGATGACCCAGCAGCAGAGAAACTGGGAGAGCAGAGGGGTCGGCAGATTGTGGTTGAGTGTCAAGGGCCTGGCAAGATGGACTAAGGGAATAAAAGGCATCTGTGGCCAGAGCGTGAGAATTTTGGAAATGAAATACATACATCCAGGGTTGGGAGTAGTGTTTTTTTCCCTTTTTTTTTTAAATCTTCAAAAACGACTAAGTGAAATGTTGAAGCAAGAGTACTAACTCCTGGTCTAGAAGAGAGCTCAGCTTTGAGGGAGTCCTTTTTTCTCAGGGATGAGGATGTC